ACTAATACTGAACCCGAACCTAAATCTCAGCCTAAGAATTATAATCCTTTTGATGCCCAAATCGCAGAAATAGATTCTATGTTAGCAGAAAATGCGAAGTTAGACTATTAGTATCGGTTCCAGTGGAATTCCTAAATAAAACTCTTACGTTGCTCGATGGAACTAGTTATGAGGTTAAGTGCAATTGAGAATATCCGGAGAATGCATAGTATATATGCCTAAAATTTCGTACCATGTTGCATATTTCGTAATACAATAAATAATTAATATGATGCACATTACACTTAGGAAACATGAAATAGAAAATAATGTATTATGCAGAGTGGGTTACAAAGTACCCTAACTTTATTTATAAAGCAAAAAAAAATTAATAAAGTTATGAATATTTCGCTTTTGCGCACTCATTACATTCATTGTAATTTTTTTTTTCATATTGCAAATTAGATTCCGATACCAATTTCGCTAACACAGATCATATAAATTTTTATACATAACAAAGAAAGTATAATAATAAAGCAATAATAGTTTGATCTGTTGATTATAAATTTTATGTTAAGACTTGAAGTATATCATTAAAATCTATGTTCGCTCCACATCCTAATACAAGATGCCTATTCCATTTCATCTTGTACCAACGAACTGTATTGCCCACGGGCCAATGGCCGAGATATGGAGCATGAGAAGGACAAGCCGTTTTGGGTGTTCCCACCATTGAAGCAACATCTGGATTTGGATTTGCTGGAAAGGCAGTTTCAGTAGCCGGAACAACAATTATTACAAATTCTGTGGTCAGGCAGTAGGGTCGAATGCATGCAAATTTATTCATGGCATTATCACGATCCCCAGAATTGTCATAGGTCACCTATAAATATTTGATTAGGCTGATTGTATCAAGAATTAGTTGCATAATTCTGAAGATAAGGGAATAAGATCTTCACCTCGATCCACAGCAACGGTGGTGGACATAGATTAATTATAGGGTTAAGCCTTTGATTACGTGCTGGTTTAGGATTCCAACTGCCCACATCAGGTCGATACTGATTACCGTTAACCACACATATTGTATCAATTTGAGTCCCCCAAGTTGGTGGGAGTTGTTGATCAAGTGAATACACTACTTTCTTATGTATTTCTGCTTTAATCCAACCATTAAACTTGAATAGTAACAAAAGAATTAGAAAATGCATGTAAAATAATTATAAAACAAAAATGGTACCTTACCTTGATGAACAATTTATTGTCAACAATTTCAGCATTAAAAATATCATGGATCGCTTCAAAAATTTTATCACGTTTCTTGCCCTTGGCCTTTATTTCTGGTAATTCAAGTTCTATAATATCCACATCACGCATTTCACGTAGTTCTTCATTAACTTCATTTTCAATTTGACTGATCACCTAGGAGAAATGGACTGTTGGCTTAATTCAAAATATATGTTTCAAAAAAAAATGGAATGCATTATTATACCTTGGATTCTGCATTATCTTGAATCAAGTCAACAAGCTTTTTAAAGGCACTTTGTACTCTTTGTACTGTGTTATAAGAATGTGCAAAGTTCCTTTTATAAGACTTTTGGATAAATATTTATTTCATGTTTTTTTAATTAACAATAAAATAGTACCTTTACTAGTTAAACAACCACTAACCCCACCGATCCCAAAACTACTCTCTACTCCTAAAAATGTGGTTGCCATTGCACTACAAAAATTAAATTGTAAGCAGAATTTTATTGTACTAGTAATAAATTTGACTAGTAAGTAGAGTTTATTATTACATCATCGGTTTTATTTTTGTACACATCTGATATCGGGTGTGATGTGCTATTTAAACATGATTTTTACCTAAAGTCTTAAAAGTCTCCTCAGTAACTTGTTTCTTTCTTGCTTCATTAGCTTCCCGAAGATTAGGCAATTGATTAAACCTAGCTACAGTATCAGGACTTGGTTGGGTATAAATCATAATTAATTTGAAAGTCTGTATTATCAATTTGATGATGTTTATGGTAAAAATTTGCTAAAAAAAGCTTGTGATAAAGAGTATAAAAATAAATGTTGATAGATAATATGTGGTGTTACACTATCAAGTATAGTGTACTTATAGCTGTTTTTGATTGGTTAGAGATTATACTATTTAGCGTAATGTGTCGTCTCCACAGATGAAGCCGGAATGATATATACATCAATACACAGATGATCCAAAAAAGCATCCAAAATAATTGATAAGCATTTGCGGGTTGGTAAAATCAAAAACCACGAATTCTCATGGCAGTAGACGATCCTTTAAGTGTATGACTTGGTTGGGACACCCCATTGAAATTAGATGAATGAACCAAGATTTAACAATCAAATAATTAATTATTTTTTTCGTTATTTATTAATGCAGAAATATAATACATCCTACTCGCCACTTCTTATAATATTGAGAAGATGTACGTATCCAGCCTTGTATTGAAATTGGGGTGGATGTGAAAAATAACAAACACGATTTATTATTGCGAAGCAATGACCCCTTGGATCTATCTACACTAGGGATTTTTTGTGCCCCATAAAATATATACAGATAAAATAAAAGTCAAGAAAAAAATAGCTATTAATCATCACGAAATAGCAATAAATAAAAGTCTAAAGTACTAGCCCTTAAGGAATACTTTAGGTGGTTTTATTTTAAAGATATATATATGAATAAGTTATATAATAAATAGATATATTGATCGAATAAATAGATATGTATATTGCTTATTTCGGAGAAATGACACTTCGTGCCTGCAGACACGGTCTATATATTATTATTAACTTGTCGCATTTCTTCTCGAACTGCCCATAATAATTGGTAATGTAATGTTAATTCTGAAGCGCAGAGACCATCAGGTCTGTAGAAATACTCTAACCATTTTTGTTGTATTACATTTACAGCTCTGATTTTTCTACCGATTTCTCTTGCATGTTTAACTCTTCTAATAGCATTCTGCATCCACAATTCATATCGACGAATTGCTTCTTTTTCGAAGTAGGAGTTACTAGTTTCAGATCTACTTTTAAGTTCTATATAGTCTTTATAACTAATATCACAATAAGCATTTCCTGTGCAATTTGTGCTCCAATGTTTATCCATGAAATGACGAAACCCACACTCATAACCACTTCCTATTCTAGAATAAACTAGCTTGTTACACGAATAACATATTGCTATGCTTATGCCTACAGAATGACCAAGATCATCTTACCATAAATATTCCATCTTTCTGGCGATAAGATATCGCTTTTTATCATAAGTCAAACGATTATTATTCTTATAATTCGTCAACTGATCCCAAATTCGTTTCATCCAATCAGATGGAGTTTCACCCTTACGAATCACTGGAAGTTGACAATTATCTTTCCATTCAGTGTCGCTCAAAATTGGGCAGATATCCGTATAGACCATATTTAACGATTAAATAAATTATAGTGTTTTTAGAGATTATGTGATTTATATCGAATTTAAGGGTTTTGACCTATTAGATTTGGTTCTTTATAGTATAAGAATATATGATTCAATTTTTGTGCGGATTGAGTTATTAGATGAGTTATGTATAATCGTCATATTTTGCGAGTGAAATATGATGAGAATGGGAATTGCCGATCACGAGCTAAATTTCTATTCCCAATTCATTGGCTGATAGTTAGTTCATTAACCGTAATATCTTGCCCAACATGAATGTTGTTTTGCGTTCGAATTTATAATGAAGCTATGATTTAATTACTTAGAACGAAATCTAAAGAACCAATGCCGTGATCACATAGAATAAACCAGTTATAATCGTGTTAAGAAAAGAAAATAAGTTAATTCATCTTTGTTTACTAATGAGCTCTGCCCAGAGTCGAAAGGCTCATAAATAAGAGGTATCTATTGTTGTTGTATAAAAACGATCAAGCTTATTTTTTTGACATCGAATGAGGGCCTGTGCGTCGTATGAGATGTGCCAAAGTTTTCGATTTCACCTATCAAAATAAATCCATAATAATTATGATCGACGCAGGTAATGGATCGCCCATAGTAGATAAATTTTTAATGAGCTGACCGTGTAATTCGAAAAAACCAATGATTATTGATAACTTTAATGGTGTGTACCTATAGCAAATCGACAATCAACGCCAGAGAGATTCTGAAATACGTATAAAAACAGCTTGAACTTGAATTCGCATAATTTTTCTACTTCATAACTATAACATTCGAATAAAAAATTTGTTAAATCAATCAAACCACGTAAATAAAACGTAGTAAATCAATTAAAAAAACCGTGTTAGCAGAGCTAGTTTCACTAAAAAATAAAATATTATTCTTACATTTATCGAATCAAAGGTTTGTTAAGACTCTTGTATCAGATTAGAGATGTAGTATTCTTGTAACGTCATTGAACTAACTGATTTTTCCATAGATGACACCAATCGAATTTTTCGAAGCTCTCTCGAAAATGCCATTAGAGAGATATTTTATTTTAATCCCTATCTTGATCCTCATCATAGCATTGATATTTGGAGAAACATTCTTCATATACCTATTCATTGTCATCATATGCTTCGTTTTCTATATATTCAAACAACAAATCGATATGGAATTCAAATTATTAAAAGAGAAACGAAAAAACGAATCTAATGAAATCTATAATAAAATAGATGATCTTACCGAAAAAATTTCTTTGTTTTATGAAGAGTTCCAGCAAAGATTCCAGGAAGAAGATACTTTAACTAATAATAATTCAAGTAACCGTTTAAGTAATAATTCAAACAATTTTTCAAGTAGTTCTCGAGGTAGGATCTTTAGTTATACTAAAGGCCTTGCTATTTAATGTATAAATAAATATCTGTTACTTTGAGAGACTTATAGTGTATTAATATTTTTGTACCGTATTAGGTTCAAGACGTACTTCGTTTTCAGATCCACTCTTTCAGGAATTTAAAACACTTTTCGACGAGACCATGCGAGAAAATGATTATTCTAAAGCCGATATGATTGCCGAAGTTGTAAGTGATCTTAGAAAGGAGAAGAAAATAAAGGTTATATTGAACAAAGCGGTGGAAAGTTATTATAATCAAACAACGAAAGCCGACGCCAGGACTATAGGAGCAATCAAAGCTTGGATCGAGCTCAAGACTAAAGGAAAAAATAAATCCAAAAATAAATCAGCATCTAGCAATAATAATAATATCGATGAAGTTAGTGATGAGGAAGAAAAAGACTATAATAATAGTAATAATAAATAGTTTTTTTTCACCTGGTAGAGCCAAAGTATAGGGACGTATATTCATGGTCTAGGGGCCGTACGTTCTCTCCCTTGCAACTCTGCCAGTTTTCGTAAAAAAATATTAATTATTTTTGTATCTTATCGAAATATATTTCGCTTAATTAAATCATTAAAATAAAATGAATCATTTTTTAAAAATTATGACATAATATTCGTGTGCGACCTGCAAGAAAAATGTGGTATGACAATATATATAAATTGCCATTGATGTAACATTTTAACCATATTTAGTATTTTATTAATGGCAATGGACCAGACCAAAACTTGTTTGTCTCGATGGACCTGATCTATTGCCAACCCTGGCGTAAAACATCTTAAAAGGGAGTATTAGTATGGAAATTTGTCGCTTTATAGGGATTATTTCTTGCGCTATCCAGTGTATAAATTTCGGTGTGTAACTAGTGCAGATTTCTACAAATTTACAATGTCTGCTGATTTATATACAAAAAATACAATCGCAAATATGGAATTAGCATTCCGCCATAAGATCCACCCTTTTATGGAAATTCTAGATCTTTCCCCAGCATTAGGGGTTAACCTGTAATTTTACTCGTTTTAAGCTTGCGGTCGTACAATTGTGAGTTAAAGATGTAATAGTATTTTTCTCATGCCTGCCAAAAAGGATAAATTTTTAAAAAATTTTTGCCCAACAAATTTGAAAAAACCAAAAAACAAGTGTCGTTCATACTTTATAAAATTCAGTAAATTGCTTAAATCCTGATTCACACAATTTCTGATTATTAGAACTAACCTAAATTGGTATTATCGCAGTTAAAAATATGTCCTTTGCAGGTTCCACAAACAAATCTTCTTGTCCAAACTCCATAATAAAAATGTGGGTTCTTCTCGAAGGGCAACCGAGGGCTATAAAATTGAAAGCTGATTTATCCGAGGTCGAAGACTTGGACGATTTCGCACCTATTCTCAAGAGAGAGTTCGAAGAGTTAAAAAACGTTAAAAATCAAAATATCGTATTCTTAGATAACAACAACACACTTCTTTCACCAGACACTTGTTTACAAACTCTGGCATACAATACAACAGCTAAAACGCCACTTCTTGTTCGTTACTCACTCTCAAATGCAAACAGTAAATGGGGTTTTTATTTTCTTGGTTTTGTTTTTCCCACTTAAAATAAGTACTTATTAGTTTCCGTCAAATGTAGTTGTGGTGATCTTCAATTATTTGCGTTGTTCAGGTAAATGTAAAATACCACATACCAGTGGTTCCTTAAGTTTGTTGCGAGAGGAAGTCGTAAAAAGATTTAAGGAGATACAGACAGAAGAATTCTACTTTTTCAATGATGAAACAAAAGAAGAGATTCGGAATGAGTATAGCTTTAACATCCTAGTATCTCAGACCGAACTAAATAGTAACAACTATAATCTTAAGTTAAAAGTCAAAGTCGAGGGTAAAAGGTCTTATAGCGATTGGGAACTAAAGGATGTGTTTAAGGAAATATTACGACGGGATTATAAATCTCTTGGTGGTATGCCAAGATTTAACTTGAATGACCTACTCTCGTTAGAGCACCCATTTACTGAGAACGAATTAAAAAGTTTCGTTGATGAACTTCAAAAAACACTTAATGCATTCAAGAAAGAATTCGGCATCAATGAGGAGACGGCTCGTGAATATATTTCTACCTTCATGAAAACTGCGTTTTGCCATATACAAGACTACATAAACGAATCAGCACAGTTGAGCGTGGAAATAGACCTGGAGGGAAGTCGCGGGTATGGCCCTGTAGACTACATGGTGGTTATCATTAAAATTTTGGTGCTGTTATGTGAAGCAAAAGCGGAAAATATGAACAAGGGAACAGCTCAGGTTCTTGTGCAAATGCACAGTGCGATAGAACAACAATTGGGTAAACGCAAGCACGGCCAAATGGAACAAGCGATGTTCGGAATAGTTACAACTGGAAAATTATGGCGATTTGTCCGTTGGACTGGATCATTAGAAGAACCGACAGTTCATATTTCTGAAGAGTACACTTGCAATTTTAAGGGTAACATGGAACCCGAAAAGGAAGTGTTAAGATATATTGCTCAGATATTACAAGCCCAAGCTATGGCATTTGGTGTTGATGATAAGGACAGTGGTCATCCTTCAAAACGTCAATGTACTAGTCAAAAAAAATGAATTTTGTTCACCATTCCGCCATATATTTTCATTTCTGCATGTATTATTTTTTTGTATTAAAGGTAGTCGTAATACGTGAAAATAATAAAGATTTCACCCAAATTGGGATTTGATTTTTTTTTAACCGTATGCTTATATGTGTTGTGGAGTGGTGTGCATTGAAAATAAAAAAAATGTATATGCTATTATATTTAGATACGAAGCATCCTCAATCATGGACGAATAAAATTAGATTGCCGGTTTATTGTAAATAATGCATATAAAATTTTGCAATAAAGCTAAGCCCTGGTGACTCGATTTTGCGTTTACTTTTACAGAATGATCACCAGTTTTTTAGAAAAAAATAAATCAATTGTTATACATATTGACCTTGCCAGCTCCATTTAGAATATGAGTCACAGACTCTGGGATTTGCCCATTTGAAACGATATTATTTATCTCTAGATATCTACATACCTCTTTGTAATCGAATATTGCCTTCGTATCTTGCGTGTTCCAATTTATGATAATTATGTCTTCCCCTTCCATGACGTGCATATATTTATTCCGGTTTTGATATTGCACATACTGCGTATGATTCATAGAAAATTTGCCTTGAGTTTTACGTCTATTGTTTCTAGATTTGCGAGACATATCTTATGTATAATATCACACGTAACCTTACCATCTAGCTCAGACAGTTCATCGGAAACTAAGATAAATGAAGAAGCAAAGCTTCGAATCTCCGACTCATCCACCACAATTCCTATCCCTTCTACTCATATCTCTAAATCTTCAGGTCTAGGCTATTTGCCGAAAACTCAGGTAAGTGAGAATGTAGAGCTTCGAATTTCTGATTCATCATCCATATATCAGGGGTTTTAACTTGGACTTCTCTGACAATGATGAGATAGATAATTGGAGTGCAATGTGCTCTGATAACGATGATGAAGCAGGGTATTATTGGAATCCGAGTACTGGAAAGAAAATTTATAAAGAATCCATGGAATTGACA